GGGGGGGGGGGGAGAATTAGGCTGGTAAGACACTGCAATTCTTCCCAAGGAGAGAAGATGCTGTTATAATGACTCTTATTTTTTTCTTTCTTTCTTTGCCACATCACCTCAGTTGTTTTTTCATATCTGATTCAGTGGTCATATAACTGGGGCTGCAAATGCAAGTGCCTGAAACAGCAACGATTCCTAAATAAGAGGTTACAACTATATTTTAAGCCTTATGTCAGAATGCCTAAAAGCCTCACGGAGCAGGATATGCCTTTATCCCATCTGCCAAAATTGGTGTTAACAGTGAATGCAGCTGTGTGCCTGGAGGTAAAAACAGGCCGCAAGGTCCATACCTGCGTGAACAGAGTGGACCGAGGGAGAGGCACTTGCTGGACTAATGTTGCCGCCTGCAGTCTAGACCAGCACAGCGCCCAAGCCTAACATCTCCTCCAATGGTGTAAGAGTTCGGGGATAAATAAAGAGGAGAGATAGAAGCTAAGGGAAAAGTTATGAATAAATGGGTTATGTAATGAGGGACCAATATTGCATTAACACCTTGAAAGAGGCTCAGAGCAAGAGATGATATTGTCTCTTAGCACAATTATATCAGATACCTGAAAGGATGAGCCCATGTTTGCTGGGACCACCTCTGCTTTTGGAACGTCTGCTTTTGCAAGATTGAATGGATGCCTGCAAACCTGAGTGGCCTCGTTCTGGGGGACATTTTCATATGATATGATGACTGAAATGAATACTAATGACTGTGTGGGATTTTAGTAATATGCCAGTATCTTTTGAGTAATATATCATTTTGCTGTAAGTGTTCTGGGGGTGGGCTGTGAAATAATAGAAAATATGTGTATTGGTCTCTGCTCCTGGTTCCTGGCACAGAGCTTCTAAAGCACTCGTAATTTCCTAAATGATAAGAGCACTAAGAGCACCTTTTGTTCTAATATTTGGCCTCTACCCCCAGTTCCTGACACAGGGCTCCTAAATCCCTTGGAATTTCCTGGGTGATAGAGGAGTGTCTTTTGTTCTAATGAGGGGACTTCAAGTGGGCTCCTGATACCTCCTGGATGGGGGCTGGTCACCCAGAAGACCATGGTTAGCATCTTGGAACTTTGAGCCTCACAACTCATGTTTCAGGGAGGGGAGGGAGGCTGGAGATTGAGTTAACTGGTCATGCTTATGTGATGAGCCACCATAAAAATCTCAAAAGTATGGGGTTCAGAGAGCTTCAGGGTTGGTGAACACATTTACATGTTGGGAGGGTGGCGCACCCCCACTCCACATGGACAGAAGCTCTTGTGCTTGGGACCCTTCCAGATTTCACCAGATGTATCTGACTGTTTATCTGTATCCTTTATCATATTTCCCTGAGTTCCATGAGCTGTTCTAGCAAATGCGTGTGGTGGTCACGGGAACCTACGATTTGTAGTCAAGTCAGCAGAAGTTGTGGGTAAACGGTCCCACTATCTGCAATTGGCATTTGAAGTGGGGGCAATCTCCTGGGACAGAGCCCTTAACCTGTGGGGTATGTGCTAACTTTGGTTAGTGTTGGAATTGAATTTTAGGACACCCAGCTAGTGTCACAGAGAATTACTTCATGTGGAAAGGAACCCCACCCATCTGCTGTCAGAAGTGTTGTTAAGTGTGGTAGTAGGGAGAGAGTAGAGGGGAAACACCCAGGAGGAGTGTGGGATCTGTAACAGACTGAATTGTGTCTCCCCACTCCAGGACCTCAGAATGTGACTCTATTTGAAGACAGGGCCCGTACAGAAGTTATTAAGGCAAAATGAAAGTGTTAGGGTAGGTCCTTATCTGACTGACTGGTGTCTGTTTTTGTTGTTTTAAATCTTGACTGGTGTCTTTTTTAAAAAAAAATAAGTTTTTATTGATTTTTAGAGAGAGAGGGAGAGAGATAGAGGGATGGAAACATCGATGAGAGAGAAACATCGTCAATCGGCTGCCTCCTGGACGCCCCTTCTGGGGACCCAGCCTGCAACTCCAGCATGTGTCCCCACCAGGAATGGAGCGGTTCCTGCTTGGTTCCTGGGTCAACGCTGGACCACTGAGTCACATCCGGCCAGGGTTTTTAAAATTTGTTTGTTTTGTTAACCCTCACCCGAGTATATTCTTTCCATTGATTTTCAGAGAGAGTGGAAGGGAGGGAGGAGAGAGAAACATCTTATGTGAGAGAGACACATGGATTGGTTGCCTCCGGCAGGCGCCCCCACCCGGGCCGGGTAGAACCTGCAAACCTGGTTGGTGCCCTGGACCCGGAATCCAACCCCAGGCCCTTCACTGTGCAGGCCAGGCTCTAACCACTGGGATCACCGGCCAGGGCCTGCCTGGTGTCTTTCTAAGGAAGGGGACATGTGGACACACACAGGGGCATCTGAGCTGCACCGGCGCAGAGAGGAAAGGCCGTGTGAGGACACAGGGAGAAGGCACCCACCTTCAACCCAGGAGAGGGGGCCTCGAAATGGCAGGAGAGACCAGCCTTGCCTGCTCCTTGATCTTGGACTTGCAGCTTCCACGACTGTGAGAAGATACCTGTTGTCGTTTATGTCAGGCAGCCCGTGGTCATTTGTTATGCAGCCCAGGGGACTGGCGAAGGCAGGCGGGGCTCCACGGGCCCCCAAATCTCTGCTCTGGGCTCTGCTTCCCCTGGGCCCGAGCTCCTCCGTGGATGTGACTAGATTATAAATGCCTCTTACCTGCGAAGAAAGGGCACGGTCCCGGGCAGCTCCCGGGCCTGGGGTTCGGAGATGCCGGGGCCACCGCGCGAAG